ACACTCCTTATTGAGTTTCTAAAATCATGTTAGTGCACTAAGCTAATTTGGTGCTATAGTACTTCTTACCATAAATCTGAATTTTTTTTTTCAAGTGAATTACACTCATGGTGTTATGAAACATTCACCTATGTTCATAGCTCGATGTTTGTTGCCTAACTCTTAAGTCACACTAATTGGGTGATAAGGTTACATGTTTCAAAGAAATCCTAGAATCAATATGTGTGGCATTCAGAAATTCAAATATTATTCACCATCCAACATACTAGATATTATTTGGCTTTCGACATTTTAGATTAATGTTCTATTATCTTAGTCTAAAATTGCATGTTACTCCACATCAACAATTTCTTCCCATGATAAATCATCATTTAAAATAACACATTTTAGAATCAAATATTTCCATTAATCCAAATAGAATTAACAAAAATAATTACTTTCCCAAAAGGACACGTCCATTATTATTGGAGATATTATCTTTGTGATTAACGTGTTTACACTTCATTACATGAACATATACATGTGATATCTAAAGTTTCAAGAGATATTACAATAATTCAAACACCTTTATTAATTTCGTTATAAATAGAGTTTTGACAGTTGACATTTAAATTCAATACAAGTTCTTTGCATTTTTCTTATTATTTCTTAGCCCTTGAATTCTAAATAATTCTTCATTCAAACGTTAGTATATATACTATAGCATGAGGTAAGTAGATGTTAACTAAAGTTTCAAAATTAGTGGGGACCTAATAGTTATTTGGGGAATATTAGATCTATCAATGTGTGTCCATATGTTTATTAAATTAATGACGCGTCCATTATTATTGGAGATATTATCTTTGTGATTAACGTGTTTACACTTCATTACATGAACATATACATGTGATATCTAATTAGTTTAATATCACGTTAGTTAGAGGGACTTTATGTAGATTCATGATACAGAATACTCTAGACAAAAGAAGATAGTATTTACTAGAAGAAGTATTTACTGGAAAAAAAAAAAAAAAAAGAGGAAGGGAAAGGAAAAAAAACGTTGTTATACTAGGCAAACTACTCGTGTGGGTTGGGTAGACTAATAGTTTTGAATAAATCACAACTTCAAATAGATGTTCCCGCACTATGCCTAATAACTTTAGTCCACCTTGTGTGTTCATTTGTAATCTCCTATTCCTTCCGTGGGTAATTAATATATGTTCTCTAATAAATTATTAATTTTGCTAATTTGAATTCATGTGTATTTTACTAATTGGATTGTTACTAGTTGGACCTGTAAGAAACAAATCCAAGGTAGGACAAATTTGAACTTGTAAAGCTATTGGCATGTTACTGTTCATTATGTTGAAAGTCCACTATGGATCACCTATAATCTAAGGAGAGAGCATATAAAGCTTATCGTTGTGTAACAATGGAAAAATAATATAAATAAATAAATATAAAAATATAAAAATATAAAAATAAATAAACCTTTGGTGTTATTTATAAGTCCTCAAATTTGTCTAATGCTTAGTTCCATATAAAACTTCGTCGAAGAATATTAAAATAAACAAGAAAATTGGTTATGTGATATTTATGGTCAATGGACAGTTACTATCTGTGGATTTTTAATATTTTGAAGTGCTATAATTTATTTTATGGATTATTTGAAACTGGAACTGATAAGTTACAATTATTGTCTAAACGGTAGTCAATAAGTTTGGAATTTTTGACTCATTTAATTACTAATATACGTTTATAACCAGTGGACCCAAATAGTTCAAAAACATAGTCAAGTCTTTGTTCAAAGAAGTTTCTGCAATACTTTAGTATTTTAATTATGCTTAGATCACAAGAGTAAAAATATATTGAGTTAAACCTGTATTTCTAAATTAGACTAATTACTGTTGAAACCCATATCGTATACCATCATAGTTGTTTTACATCACTTCTGGGAAAGTAATTATTTTTGTTAATTCTATTTGGATTAAAGGAAATATTTGATTCTGAAATGTGTTATTTTAAATGATAATTTATCATGGGAAGAAATTGTTGATTTGGAGTAACATGCAATTTTAGACTAAGATAATAGAACATTAATTTAAAATGTAGAAAGCCAAATAATATCTAGTATGTTGGATGGTGAATAATATTTGAATTTCTGAATGCCACACATATTGATTCTAGGATTTCTTTGAAAAATGTAAACCTTATCACCCAATTGAGCTACTGGATAAAAAAAAAAAAAGGCTTATCAAAAAACTGGTGTGACTTAAGAGTTAGGCAACAAATATTGAGCTATGAACATAGGTGAATGTTTCATAACACCATGAGTGTAATTCACTTGAAAAAAAAAATTCAGATTTATTGGGTGCTTGGTAAGAAGTACTGTAGCACCAAATTAGCTTAGTGCACTAACGTGATTTTAGAAACTCAATAAGGAGTGTTATTTATGAATTGAATTTGTTTGACCAAGCTACGACATTTGACCTATTTTGGTGATTAGAAATTCAACATGCATTTATTCTCTAGTTAGTAAAGAATATTTAAAAGTTTTTACAAAATTGAGAGATAGAATATATTCTTGTTGAGTCATGACATGCTATAAGTTACTTCTGCTAGATTTACTACTTGATACTGGTATATTGATGGTATGATTATAACACACGAACTATATGTGTTGGTAATAGAGCAGTGTGATGCAAATGCCATTTTATGAACTACAAGAAGAAATTACTTAGCTCAAATTTTAAATAAAGAGCTAAAGCATTAGTAATTCTCATGAAAAAAAAATTGGAAATGTGGGGGTATAATTAAAAAGATATCTCCTGAATTCGCAATTTGAATTTTTTTTAATGAGATGGTTTCTTTATATGTCCGTTTGTAATGAGGATTGCAATGATCTGTTGAGATCTTTATTGACTATGTTGGCACTTAAAACTTTCTCAGACAAATACATTTTAATGTAGTGTTTATCTTTGATGTTTGAAAAACAGATCAAGTCAAATATCAAATAGAGGAATTAATAAGGTGTGCACGTCTGAGCGAAACATTCATCTGTGAAGAATGATCATTTTATATTGAAATTATAAATCTTAGCCAAACAAAGCTGACAAATAATTATACAGCTTTCGAGGAAAGCCATGTGACATGAATATATAAAAGATGATTAATTTCATCAATGAGCTTTTGAGGAAAGCCAAACTTTTGAAAAAAGTTGTGTCTCAAGAACTATCGAGGGGGATGGGCCTAAGCCCGCAAGGGAGTCACCTAGGGAGATAACCCAACTTCTGTGATTGGGGACCCCATGAAGGAAGTTCAATGAGTAGAAACAATTCATATTGCGTGACTCATTAGCACTATTGTTAGGGATATTTTCATGCTCATCCCTATGGCGGAGGTGCATATGTAGTGTGACGGTAAGGAAGGGTTTTACCCTGAATGAGACCGAGGTAAAAACACTCCTGTAGTGTATTGTGCACATGTACCCTTGGAGGGATCACCTAAGTGAGAGTAGTCATGAGGCCGCGATTATGAGAATTGGACTATTCTCTAGAAACTCTCATGAGAATCAAGATCAAGTGCAAGACCATTAAACGCACTGACCCGCGAATTCTGACCAATATCGGTACTGTGTGTGTGTGATAGTTAAACTTTGGCTCAAATGGTCTATAGTTCAAGCCTTTGGTCACTATGATCATTCAGGGGGAGACTGTCAACACTAAGTGAGGTTCAAATCTGGAAGACACTTACACCCATTGCACAGTATTATAGTTGCCCTAATTTTTTTATGTTCATTTTATGCTTATATATGTATATATGTTTAAAATTATATTTATCATTTCAAAATTTTAAAACTTGTGGGGGATTGTTGAAAAAAAAATAATAAAAGCTTTACAATTTCTCATTTAATTTATTTTATATGTTTTAATAAATCACTTTTAATTTAGGATTTAATTGTATTTTTATATGATTTAATTGAATAGTTATATTTTGTTATAATTGGGCATTTGAATATTTTTATGTGGTGGGGATTACTAGATGGTAGACTTTGAACGCCTCGAATGGCTAGAATTCTCAAGTATATATAAAAAGAGTTCATATGATCTAATGAAAATATATGTTTTTGTAGTATGTATCATTTTTCCATATATATTGTAAATGTATATTCCAATTATGGTTTTAGGCAACTTCAATTCGAGTCAGGTTCACTCATTCCTTCCAGTCAACGTGACCATTGAGAAGGTGCTACTGCGAGTGTCTGAGTTTGATCTTGAAGTCGTTGGTGTCCGTGATTACCCTCACGCGGGAAGGCTCAAGAGTCGTGTGAACACTGTCCTAAAGCAGCTGAGCCTCCCCGAGTGAGAGTACTTACAGACAACAGCGACTCCAAGATTAAACTCAGACGTTTGCGGCAACACCTCCTCAATGGTCATGCCCACTTGAAGGAAGGATGAATCTGATTCGAATCGAAGTTGTTCGAAGTAAACTAATATCAAATATTTGTAGGTATGCAAATATAATAATAGGCAAAAAAAATATGTAGAAAGAATAGTAACACTTTATAGAACATGAGCATATAGAAAAGATGGTAGAACTATCCATCTTCTATAAAAAATATCCACCTTATTTTATAGGCACCGTCTTAATGACTCTTGAATAATAGGCTTTAAAAATGATAGTAATGATAATAAATATAAGAATAAAATAATTATGAAAATTTTTAAATAATTTTATTCATTAAAAATATTGTTGTTTAATTTTATTGCCTTTTAGTTTTAAAAGTGTTAACATATCCAAAAAAGTTTATGAATGTGTACTTTTTACTAAATCTCCAAATTTTTTAATATGCAAAGTACAATTCCCCATAGATAAAATTATAATAAAAAGAAGTTAACACCTTCGGTTTATAATAAATGTTAACAGATCCATTCTAATCTCATCAAATTTCCTTAACTATAATAACATCTTCAGTTTATAACTTCCAATACAAAGAAAAAAATCTCCCTCCTTCCATTACTGACCACTAGTTGAAAAAAATCTTCCCTTGTCTTCTCCCTCACCCTTTTCTTCCCGTGTTTGCCCATATAAGTGTGGTTTCCACTTAAATGGAGAAACAGAGAAAGTCTTGCAGAAGTGCACTAGCATTAGCATATTGCTCCAACAAAGATGGCAATGACTTCGCCGTCATCACAATGGTCGGGAAGTACCAGTGGTATCATTTCTCAACCAGGTTAGCCGATGACAATCATCCTTTAATCCACGTTAATGTGTTTCACAAATGTTTTCTTCTGTGTTTGGTCGCTTCTTGTGCGATTTGTTGTACTTTCGTCCTTTTTTCAACATTTAAATTTGTGTTTGTTTCAACATCTGAGCATCTAAAGTTATAACTTTTATCTGTTGACTGAAAGTTCAAACTGATGAAGAACGCCTCTGGCGGTACCTGCCGCTGTACAAATTAACACTTGATGGTAATTGGAAGCTGGCCAAACCATTTTTCCTCGGTGATCCTGATGCAATCAGAGCCAAGATTACTGCAGCAGGGGACACAGCACTCCACATAGCAGCTGGGACTGGAAAGGCAATTCATTTTCTGGAGGAGCTCTTGAAGTTGGGCAATGTTTCAGATTTGCATTTGCTTAACGGAAATGGCGACACTGCGCTTTCAGTTGCTGCAATGGTTGGGAATACTCCGGCGGCCAAGTTATTCTTGATGAGGGATCCGCAATTGGCATTAATAGTTAACAAAGACGGTCGCCTTCCAATCACCGAGGCTGCCCGATTCGGCCACAAGAAGATGGTTTTACTTCTACTGCGGTTCATCGAGGATGGGATGATGGAACCTTCTGGAGACAAGCCGGGTTACTCCCTTCTTAATCTACTGATTATGGCCGGATTCTATGGTGAGCAAAACTTTACCCACTTCCTTGTAGCTGCTAGTACTGTTAAATGATTTGGGCAGCTCGAGTTCATAGTTCATTCAGAATCGTTCAAACTGCAAAATAAATCGAAGTTAACGGGAATTCTAAGTTTGTTTTGTACATGAATTTGCATGGTGACTCGGCTGGAGTAGGTTCAAATAAGTTTCTGGCCATAAACAATTTTAATTTTACGGCCAAACAATCCTTATTTGAAAGATGAGCAACCACAATCTTATAAAAAATAACCACATGTGAGAGAGACTTCTCTATATAGAGATTTTGGATATTGTTGAAAATAAATTGAACATTTTAGGCCTTCATAATTAAGTTTATGGTTTAATTATTGGAGATTTTTGCTGTAATTTAGTTCAGTTCCTGCTCAAGGTTGGCTCCAATGTTCACGAACTTCTATTTTGTTATGATTGAACAAGCATTTGACCTCGACCTGCCACAACCGTGTGTATTTGAACAAATTAAAACTTGATAAACTTGGCTCGATTGACACTCTAGTAACTATTATATCAAATTTGTCATAATGAGTCAATCATCAATCCATTAAGGAAGTGACAAACTGAATTTTTGAAATTCAACTTGGAGATGAGTTCAACTCCTAATTTCAGCTAGATTTTGATCTCTGTACTTGATTTGATGACTATTACTTTATTTTTCCTTGTTTAAAGCCAAAAATGACGAACTTCTATTGATACAAACCGCTATTGATGTTTTCACTGGACAGATGTGGTTCTTGTCCTAGCAGAACATTATAAAGAGCTGGTTACAACAAGATTTGTTGATGGGGACTCTCTTTTAAACTTAATCGCTCAAAGACCTTCTGCATTTCCGAGCGGAAGTCGACTTAGCCTTCGGCAGCGCTTAATTTATGCTGGTTCTTTTTCCTTACACTATCACTTGGTCCCTCTTTTCTTCTTTTAGCTTTTAGTTCAATAAAATGCTCTTGCTTCCCACGATAATGGTGGTGGTCCAGTTTCGAACACAATGCTCTCCTTGCTTCAACTTCATGGAGTCCTGAGTCAGCGAAATGACATACTCACCAAAGGATCCTGAAATTAGTTTAACCATGTTTACTAAGTTCCGTCACTATTTAAGACAAATGTTATTAATTTTGGAGTGGAGTCTCTGTGGTCTGAAACATGACTGTCCATTTTACTTGCAGTTGTACCTGTGAACTTGGGCAATAAATTGAAAAGCATCTCAAGCCTCCTTGACGGAAAACACAAGAACGTGGACAAGCTGCAGCCAATTTCTCTCTTGCATGCTCTGTTGGACAAACTACAGTATTTGCACAACAAACTACTACATTTCGGTTTGTAGTTCTTCCGATGGAAGTCTATTATACCAGTTATTCAACTGAATAGAAGAGATGCACATAAATTTTAATCTTTGTACATCGCTTAAAAAAGACGCTAAAATCACTGACTTTCTTTCCAATTCTAAATAACTATCCACTGTCCATTGTCGAGGGCTTCGATATCAGTGGGTAGCAAATGAATCTATGACAAAGAATTATTTTAAAAGGAATTGAGATTGAAGAGGATGTTCAAATGGGAGAAGAGAAAGGTGTTGGGCATTTAATTCAAGGCGTATCAGAAAGGTGTTAACTAATTAAGGCCAAAACAGAAAGCTCAGACAATTGACGAGTGATAAGTAAAATAAGTTTAATGGAGCTTTTACACCTTAGTTCTGATTGCCTTGGTGAGATAAGAGTGTGATGAAGCAACTTAAACTTCATTTATTGGTTTTGTGCTTCTGTATATAGGAAGTTGCATGCAAAAATTGGAGAAGCTGGTTTCTCTGTCTAATTGGTCCAATTTTGTGGTACAGGACTCAGCAGGCTCAGTCTATTTTATGTGACCGTCATACTTTTCCTATTTGGTTTCAACTTCATGGGTGATCTTCTAATGCACATCATCATTTTGTTTTATGTCGTTTGGGAAGTCAACCGTGTAGGTAAGACATGCCAAAATTATCGTATGTTGTCACACAAAAGATTAGATTCCAAACTAGGTTATGCTCAAGTCATTATTGATTGCAGTGGGAGACATAATCTACATTCATGGCACAAAATCCACGCATAAACATGCTCTTCAAATTGTGAAATGCCTCTGCTCCGAAATTATTGATTCACGTAGTCCAAGAGATCCCTCAATACTTGAACAGGCTCTTATTTCAGCAGGACGGTCAGGGATTCATGAAATTGTGGAAGAGATTGTGGGTTCATTTCCTGATGCCGTTTGGTTTTCTGACATTGAGAACCATAATGTACTTCAACTTGCTGTTATGAATCGCCATGATAAAGTATTTAACCTCATATATCAATTGAGTGCATATAAGCATTTGTTAACAGCATCCCATGACACTTCGGGGAATAATATTTTGCATCTGGCTGGAAAATTAGCACCTTCTAACCAGCTCAATCTTGTTTCCGGTGCGACTTTGCAAGTACAGCGTGAGTTACAATGGTTTAAGGTAAATAATTTCTTTCTATTCCAGAAGTCTATCTTATATGAAATTTTGTGAAAAGTTTGTGCCTGTAAATTGATTCATCTAATTCAATATTGGAGATATATCTCAAACTTGTCTTCTTATGCATTAAATTACCACATTATGCAGGAAGTGGAGAAGTTTATACATCCAACTCTCAAAGAGGATAAAAACTCTGAAGGAAAAATACCGGCAGTGGTATTTACTGAGGCCCACAAGGACTTGATTAAGGAAGGAGAGAAATGGGTGAAAGCGGCAGCTAATTCTTGCACATTTGTCTCAGCACTCATTGCTACTGTAGGGTTTGCAGCAGCCATTACTGTACCTGGTGGCAACAATCAAAATGATGGCTTCCCAGTATTCTTCAAAAAAAAGGCCTTCAGAGTATTTTCAATCTCAGATGGAGTGTCTCTAATCTCTTCCATTGCTTCAGTGCTAATGTTCTTATCTATCCTCACATCACGCTATGCCGAAGCTGATTTTCTTGTATCCCTTCCCAGAAGGTTGTTTGTGGGCCTTGTTACTCTGTTCCTTTCCATAACCTCCTTGACGGTGGCATTTGGTGCCTCAATATACCTTGTTTTCTGCCACGAAGATGTCGATATTATTGCTCCGTTGATTATATTGGCCTTTCTGCCGGTGTGGATGTTTGGGGCCGGGCACTTTCCCCTACTTGTTGATATATTCCTGTCTAGCATGGGGCGCATTTTCCGCAAGCAAAGTGCACGCATACTATACTAAATACGCAAACAAGGTGGGAATTTTCTGCATATCGTATCAGTTTATCTCCCGATGACATGCATTTTTCCTTAGTCAGCCGTAGCAGTCGTCGGGCAGGCGGAACAACGATTGCTGGGAGGAGCTTCAGTTTCTATTTCTGCTTTACGAATATGAAGCTTCTCAAGTATTTTAACCCAATTTGCCCCTCTCATATTCCTTAGTCACTTTATATAACATTATGTAATTTTTTATTTATGAAAATGCATACGTCGTTTAACAATTATCGTTGGTATCATAAATCATTATTTCTTTCAAAAAAACATTTAGGCGCGTTAGATGGAAAATGAATTTCAAAAAATGGCATTCATTTTTCTTGATTGATATCTTCTTCTTTTTTTGATTAATATCTAAACCCAACTTGGAGTCAATTTTTGTAAACATATTTTTACTTTCTTTCTAATGGATATGGGCAACATTTTTCTTTTTTTTTTTGAATTTGTGTTGTTTATAGCCTACTATTATAACACTAGAAATCTTCAATACTCATGATAAATCTTTAGTTTAGATTGCAAAAATGAAAATTGGTCATTTAGAAAAACAATGCAACTAAAATTAATTTATTTGTTACAAATTTATTCGGAATTGTCATCTAAACAACATAGTTTAGAGATATACTAATATTTTTAATGTTAATCAACGGAATAAAGATCCATTTTGAAAGAATGCCTCAAACATAAATATGAGATCTTATTAGTAGATTTTTGAGTATATAAGAACATAATAATCTTTTCTTTTCTTTTCTTTTTTGTAATGTCTTGGGAGTAGAAGGGTAAGAACAAATGAATGGTTCTATTTATACAATTTGGCGGTTTGAAATCTCACATTTTGAAATCAAAATTAGCTTCGACTTCTCTAAAGTTTTCTTTTTGCTGAAATTTCCCTATTTATATCAATATAAAACAATAATCTCCTAACTGTATTGAGAAAAATGAGAGTGCTACATGCACAACCAAATTTTAAAAATTGTTGTTCAAATTGAGAAATTAGTTTAACCAAATAATTCTTTCTAATTATTATCAACCTTAACTTTGTACTCAAACTTCATATTTACATTGGTAATATACATTTTTTTTGATGATGCACAAAAATAGATTTATGCACCACTAGTTGAGTGATTAGTATAATTAATAAAATGCAGTAAATATGATAGAGCACTCAACACAAGTAATACACAAAGATAGAGTGGTTTGGTCAGAGTGACCTACTCTATTTTGAAGAGATTTGATTGCGAGGGTGTTTTATTATTGTAGGAGTGTGGAGAGCTCAAGTTTAAGATAAAATACAAGATGCCCCCCAGTGTATAAGTGAGGCTTATAATTTATAGGCGTCTCATAACAGATTAATGTGCCACATCCTTAATAAATAGGCTAATTTGGTGGAGATAGAATCATTCTTGAAACGGACAGGATAGTTACATGGAGACGGCGTGGAGATTTTTTTATAAATTACAGACTGAATTTCAGGATGACGTGGCTGACTCTTTGATTTTAGGGTTAATCTCATTTTGTACCCCGAAAGATTGTTCGAATCTCAATTTGCACCCTCAAAGATCAAAAATCTCAATTTACACCCTAAAAGATAGAAATTTGTATCAATGTGCACCCCCAAAGATCAAAAATCTCAATTTGTACCCTCAAAGATAGAAATTTATATCAATGTGCACCCCCAAAGATCAAAAATCTCAATTTGCACCCTCAAAGATAGAAATTTATATCAATGTGCACCCCAAAGATAAAAAATCTCAATTTGCACCCTCAAAGATAGAAATTTGTATCAATGTGCACCTAAAAAGTAAATTGATAAATTATACCTAGATCCCCTCATACTTGTCACTTAATCATTTAGACCTCTTCACATTTAGAATATTACTCCTACACCTTATGACATTTGTGCACGTATAACACGTAACTCATTTTCATTGATATCTATTAATATAACCGTTAAAAAATATAATTTTATCCTAATAAAAAATTATAATTTCATATTACCCTTTATTTTATGGGTTTAATATATTCTAAAGTTTAAAATCTAATTTACCATTGAAATATCTAATAAAATATAAATATTTATATAATGTTTTTCATACTACCCTTTATATAAAGAGGCTGGTGTCAAAATTTCTCTCCACGTATTTGTCTGGGGCGGGCCTATCATTTTTCATGTAAAATTTCTCTTCACGTATTTGGTCTCAGTTTCATGGTTGATCTAAGTGCAATCATCATTATCTTGCTGAGAAGTCAACCTTTTAGGTAAGACATGCAAAAATTATCACGTATGCTATGACACAAAAGATTAGATGTCAACCAGATTATGCTCAAGTCATTATTGATTGCAGTGGGAGACATAATCTACATTCATAACACAAAATCCATGCATAAACATGCTCTTCAAATTGTGAAATGCCTCTGCTTCGGAATTATCCATTCAGCTTGCCTAAGAGCTCCCTCAATACTTGAACAGGCTCTTATTTCAGCAGCACGGTCAGGGGTTCATGAAATTGTGGGTTCATATCCTAACGCTATTTGGTTTTCTGAAATTGAGAACCATAATGTCAAATAAAATGACATTATGACTAGAGCAATAATGTCAAGCATACGTTTTTAACAAAAATAAAAGATTAAAGAAATAAAATAATGAATTTTTTAAATTTGTGGCTAGTGAAGATTTAAAATTTCAGGAAGAATCGATGGGTCTGAAATTGTACTACCGATAGTGTTTAACTTGAAAAAATTAAAGAAATATTTGATGTGTAGACATAGAGTTTATAAAGTATAAAAGATGAGTGAGATTAGGGTTTTAAAAAATACAATAAATCAAGAAGATCAAAAATAAAAAAGAAAAAATTTACCTGCAACCCTTCAAATGATATGTGAACGTTTCGGTGAAGGTCGGCAATGAAAACAGCGTAGTAGTCTAGTAGAGAGAGACACGAAGAAGTAGAGAACAAGTCGTTGAAAAAGTCTTTTTAGTTTTAGATAGGTTAAAAATGTTAGAATTAGAAATTTAGTATAGAATTTGAGTCTGTTTCAATTTAAGTTCAGAATAAGTTTTACCTTAATTTGGTATAAGTTTAAATCTAAGGTTGACGAAATGTTTTTCAATCATTTTAACTCAAATTTAAATTTGAGTCTATATGTTGAAAATACTCTAAAATTAAATAACTTTGTCAATCCAATGACAGTCGATGAAAGTGGTAACGGGTATATTAAAAAAACAAAACAGAAAAGAATAAAAGAAAAAAGAAAAGAAGACGACAAGATGGCGAGATTAGTAAACGTTAAATCCAATTCAGTATTATAATACTCAATGGTTAATTTATTGATGCCAAATCAAATAGAAGCCGACAGGAATAAAAGACTCAAGTGTGCTGAAATTCTAATAGAATGCTTTCTATGAACACGAATGGACCCGTACCATGTATACACGATTATAATATTATTAGTTATGAGTTTTTTTTTTAATTTTTTTATTTCCAACCCATGCATCAAGTTTGTTAAGTTATGTGGGGTCCAACTAGTTATGGAAGTGTTAATCAACAATTGAAAATCTCTCTCCCTCTCTCTCTCTCTCTCAATGTCTTTACTATAAGAAACTGTTTCTAGAATTCTAAAGAGGTGGGTGTCAAAATTGAGGAATGTTACGTGAACTTAAAAAATATATTTAAAAATTAGACCTGATAATTTTAATTATTAATTATATATATGGGTCCCAGTATTTATTGAAATTTGTTATCTATTCAATAGTTGAAATTATCAAGTTTAATTTTTAAGTTCATCTGACATTACTCATCAAAATTATGCCAACCATTTACAAAATTACAATTTGTACTAGTTTTTGGGTTTTTTTTTTTTTAAAGAAATTTGTACTAGCTCAATGAGATAATAGAAAGAAAAAAAAATACCTACAATAGCTCAAGGTTTGCTAACAATTATAATTGAGTTTAAAGCAAAATAAAGAAACGTGATGTATGTTGTCGACTTTAAATAGTTGAAATAGAACTCCATTCAATTGAATTTGAGGTAGTAATTAAATGGACTAAAAATCATCCAAGAAAATGTTCAAAATAATAATTATCTTTTTTTTAAAAAAATTTTGTGGATTAGCTTTAGTAAATTCAAGTCAATAACTAACCCAAAAGACTTCAAGTCAATAAACCAATGGATACATCATATATTAGGTCTCATTAACTGAAGCTAACACAAAACTGATAGCTGTTAGGTTGATTTTTCAAAGGCACGACAATTGGTCGAAAGACTAAATCACACAATGAGAAAAAATAGCATTCAATTTTATTTTATTTTCATCACAAAGAAAAAAAAAGGGTCTAAATGCACGACACTTTCATCATTGAAACATGATCAAATTTATACTTTATTGTTGTATTTTTGTGATTTGGATTCTTGACACTTACCTTGCAAAATAGTATAATGTTTTTAAAATTATATTGAATAATTGAAATTGAATGTTTTCTTAATCAATGGACTTGATTACGGTACTGAAAAAAAAAAATATCGTACCTCCGAAATTTATTATTTTAAATGATATATTTATAAACTTTGTGAGTCATTTTATAATCAAAAAATTTATCACTTTTTGTGGGTATTTTTATCATTATTTATGGTAATTATTTTTATCACTTTTTTTAGTACATAACAAATTATCACTTTTGTGAGTGCTTTTATCACTATCTCAATAACTATATTTTTCATTTTTCTTTGGTACCACATACGAGTAAAATTAATCTAAAATGGTAGTTCAGATGTCCTAAGTTCGAATCTTGATAGCATTTTGAAGTCAAATTATGAGAGATTTATTGTTCATATATATCTTAATTTTGGCGTGAATAGTCTGTTTTTTATTGAATCAGAAAAGAGATTAGTCGAAGTGCACGTAAACGGCCTCGAATATCTTTAACCAATGAACAAAAAAAAAAGTAGTAGTAAAATTATGATAAATATAAGTATAATACTAAAATTTTATTTTTGGCACCATAGACGACTCCTAATCTAGGTTGGTAATTTTAATGGAAGAAAAGGACTATTCCTTGGTAAAATAAACTACAATTGGGTAAATTTCATCGACATTTCTTAGATTTAAGTTATATTTTATTGACACTCCCTTTTAGTTTCTAAAATATCATTGCACACCCCTTTAGTTTATATACATATTTCACAAATTAGCCCAACTGTATAATGCAAGTAAAAAAGGTATGATGTGCTAGTTTATTCTCTTATAAATTACAAAATTTACCCTTGGTCATATAAAATAAGCTTAAAATAGTAGGAAACATCCTTTTAGTATTAAATTAAATTAAATTAAATGCTAGTTGAACTAAATAAAATATTTCCTATCAAAAAAAAAATGGATCAAACAAAATGTTAATTTAAAAAAATATATATTAATTTGATAAAACTATATATTAAATTCATAAAATTAAATGTTAATTTTATAAAATTGAACGGTCATTTGGTATTGATTGATGAAATTGAATATTAATTTGAAATTTAATCAAAAAAATGATGTTAGTTTGATAAATTAGATATTAAATTGATGAAATTAAATGATAATTTTGGGTTAATTTGATGAAATTGAATATTGATTTAGTGTTAATTTTATAAAATTGAATATCAATTTGATGAGATTGAATATTAGTTTGTTGAAATAAAATGATAATTTTATAAAATTTAAGATTAATTTTACGTAAATATGGTAGCGTCACGTATTAATTTGATGAAATTTAATATTAATTTGATAAAATTGATAGTTAATTAGATTGAATTGAATATTAATTTGGTAGTTAATTTGTGAAGTTTAATGTGATTTTGATAAAATTAAATGTTAATTAGGTGTCAATTTTATGAAATTAAATATTAATTTGATGTTAGTTTAATCAAATTGAATGTTAATTTGATGAATTGAATGCTAATTTGATAACTGTGAAAGTTAATTTGGTGCATATTTAATAAAATTGAATATTAATTAAATATTAATTGGATAAAATTGAATATTAATCAAACAAAATTAAAGGTCAATATGATATTAATTTTTGTAAAATTATAGATTAATTTTATATTAATTTGAGTAAGGATAATTAAGTAAAATTGGAGTTCCAATAAGGATAATTTAGTAAATTTATGTATTCAATGAGTATTTTTAACCATGACTCAAATTTTTACTTAAATTTAAATTAACATTTGAGTAAAAAATACTATTTGATTCAAAGAACTTTAATGGAAAAACTCAAATTAAAGAATGAGAAATCCAATTTTAATTGAAGACAAATCCAAATTTAAATAAGAGTAAAGATAACCATTAAATTTAAAAAAAAAAATCTTATAATTAAAGATTTGTGTAAGGATTTGAATCTTCCTTAAGTTGAGTAAAAAAATGAGTTTATTTGGTATAAGTTTGAGTTAAAAGTTAGAACAAGTTTTTTGAATTTGTTTACTCAAATTTAAATTTGAGGAAGGATCGATGCTCTTAAATTACAAAAACTGATAGGGGTATGGAATGATATTTAAAAAACGAGAGGAAGTTTTAATAAAATATGGCTTAAATTCCAAGGGAGTCAATGTAATTTACCCATGACAAATCTTATGAAATCCTTGGTGCATTCTGTTCTCTGGAAAAGTAAATTCTGTTTTCCCGTGAAAATGGAGAGGAAAAATCAACTTTTATTTCCGCAGTCAAATTCTTATACACCAAATTTCATCCACAATCTCCTCCCAACTCGGATTTCAGACACTCGCCGGGATAAGAATTATTGGGTTGGGAAGCAGATGATCTCATCCAATCAACACATTTAGCGATAGCTAAACTACCCGAATTCACAAACCCAATCATTCATCAGCACTGTCATCATCTTCATAACTTTCGGATCAGTGTCTATATATGTAGATCGATACTAAAATGGGCCACCATAACAACCACCAGCACCCCACCTCCGATGGCCTCTCTCAGCGCGTCAGCAGCCCTCGTTTCTCGGGTCCAATGACTCGCCGCTCTTTCAAACGCAACAATACCGCCACCACCCAAAATAGCAGCTCTCATAATAATACCAACAATGCTTCTGGCACACACCATGAGATTGATCTCTACCTCAACTCGCCCAGATCTGAAATCAATAGTCCTCCACCTGCCACTGATGGGTTCGAGTCAGTGGTGGAAAAGAAACAGACCCATTTGAGTCATCATGTAAGAGAGAGAATTAATGTAAAGAAGGCTGTTGGGTCGGTTGTGAGTGTGGATTTGGGATTGGGATTGAGAGGGAAGAAGAAGTTGGGGCACTGGATGTTCTTGGGGTTTTTTGGGGTGTGTTTGTTTTTGGGTGTTTTGAAGATCTGTGCTACTGGGTGGTTTGGATCTGCCATTGAAAGAGTTGGGTCCAATCAGGTTGGTTCATTTCTCTTACATGACTCTTCGTACTATACTAATATTTACATTTGAATCTTATACTTCATATTGATTTGTTTAATTTGTTATTAGTTCGTTTTGCTCTTCAGTAATGCTATGATCCTGTTTGTATTCACTATGTGATAGCATTAGGCTAGAAATGCTAAATTTGCTGAGCTAGTTTGCTCGTTTGATTGTCCATGTTGAATTCTACACACATCAATGTCAAAACTTAGTTTTCGGAGTTCAGTTTAATCTTTTTCAAAGAAAACGCCTATTAAGAATTTAGAAGACAGTATGGGAAGAAGTGTGGCAGAGATTTTCTTTGATTTCTGAAATTTAATCGAGAAATACATTTATAGCAGCCCCCTCCCACCAACAATATAAAACCAAAAGGAAAAAAGAAGCCTCTGTTTAATTTCTTCCAATAGATTTATTTTTGATTACTGTGGAATTTGGTAAAATGCATCATTAAAATGTGATGGAGAAAGAAATCATAATAATTTATCTTAAAAAAATTAAGAACAACAAAAGAAAATTGCCCTCAAGTAAGGGATCTCTCTCTGTCAATACTGTTATAACGGTGATGAGTGCCAATTGATTCTTTAAAAAATTGGATACAAGGGGTTAGTTATATTGTTTACTCCGGAAAAGGTGAATCCATCTATATGGGATAACAAAAACTTTCCCCTTCGGGCAAGTGATTATAATGTAGAGTTACCAGAATTCACTAAACTCCTAACAACTCACAATCTGGGTGCATCGATCCGAAAAAGGGATGGGTTCACGATCCAGATCATCAAAATATACGACCCCAAATTGCACATATAACACAAATATATATAGATTTATAATTATATATTGTTTTAGATAAAAAAATCGAGCATAAATGTAAGATAAATAGTAACTGACTTAGTGTTTATGAATGTTTTATGATATATAATATTGTATAGTGGTGAAAACGATCTAGATAAGAGCTCTCAAACGAATTACGACCCAAAATACCGTACTAACTAAATTTACCCCCATCGTATTGCGTATCTAAGAAAGAAAGTGTCGTACCGTATACCTGTACTAGTATCACCTGTCACGTAACATTGTTATAATGTTATGAGTACATACAATCATAGATGCCTCTTTGTGCACTCTGTTCTGTACTTTCATAAGAAATATAGTGGACTGAAGGATGAGTTTGATGCTTTTCCTTGATGCACGCTCCCGTGATTGGTAGTTCTCTATTAATGATTAATGTTTCTAACTGTTTGTTCTTATGTGCTTGCAATCATTATGGATAACTGCGCATACAATAATGTCTCAACTATTTGACCTTGTCAATTAGGATTTACCTGATTCACCGATCACTCATCAGATTCTTAAGGATCAAAGCTCTCATGATTACGGATATAGGAAGGGAGAAAGTAATGTTGGAGTTGAAGGAAATGATTTGGAACGGACTCTAAAGATGGTAGCATCAGGTGTAGTCAGTAGCCAGAACAGCATGTCTGATGTAAGGCTTACGTTAAAATATATTGATTTTTTAACATAATAATTTCACCTCTTCGCTTATGGATTGCAATTCATTAGAATTCAGGTATCTGGTGCAAACCTAGTAGTGAGAATTTCACTCAGTGTATTGACAGGCCGAAAAGTCATAGGAGTAAGAGCGGTTCCACTATTTGAGTTTAATTGCACTCTGTGCGTGACTTTTTGCACCTATTTCTTAACCCTTTTCCTTGCGCTTCTCTTGGCAGAGCTGGATGCAAAGACAAATGGTTACATCCTGATAAACGCGAATGGTGGCTTGAATCAGATGAGATTTGGGGTCCGTTTTGTGTGTTTTAATGATTCAGTAGGCCTCCACCATGGATTTAACTCTGATAAAGTAATTATTTTATAGTGCAGATCTGTGATATGGTCGCTGTTGCTAAAATCATGAAGGCGACTCTTGTCCTTCCATCTCTTGATCACACTTCCTACTGGGCTGATGAGAGGTACTTTCTCTTCTTTCACCGTGCTTACTGTTCCATTGGTTTGGGTTTATGAGATTTGAACATGTCACTCTAACCATGTATGAACTCTGAATCGCTTGCTCCAGTTTTTTCTCCTGTCATAGTTGTGTTTTACCTGTCATTTTCCAGTTTGGTTTCAAAAAACAAAAATTTCTTCACTTTCGTATGCTGATTATTTTCGGATACACAGCTGACATCAACAATTACATAAAAGGAATCTAAGTGGGTATGAACACTATCCCCACCTTAACCGACCCTCCAAGAGAAAAAAGTTCACCTCCTCCAGTTGCTAGGATTTTACTTGTACTGCTATATGGATGTCTTTTATTTTCATCATACAACTACCCCGCTGTTTACACTTCTCAAATCGAAGTCCATCACAGTTGCTTCGATTCATTGCTGGTATGCATGATGATGGTTAACAACTTAGTCTATAATCTAACTCATTTTATTTGTACTTATCTGCAGTGGCTTCAAAGATCTGTTTGATTGGCAGAACTTCATTGAGACTCTGAAAGATGACATCCACATAGTTGAAACATTACCCCTTGGCTATGCTGGAATTGAACCTTACACAAAAACACCAATATCTTGGTCTAAGGTGAACACTCACTATTCCTTTGATATATGCAGCAAAAATATAATATGAACATGCCTTCTTACTACTACAATTTTTATACAAAGTAGACTGTGGATATATGCTGCATATCAATTCCTTAGTATCTGGGAATAAAGATGCACCAGGATACTAACTGTTTGTTTATTTTTTGGGGGATTAAAGACCATCAGCCAAAAATAATGCTCAGAGCCAAAACATTATCCCCTTGTTGGAATAAAATAATCCTATTTCCAAACTAATTTCTTATTGATACACCAAAAAACCTAGTGGCCAAACATCCACTCCCTTCACATAATGTTCTTCTTCTTCTGCCCCTTGCTTTATGGCTTTCTCTCTCTCATACACACACAAACACACATATCCCCACAGCAGCAGCCACAACTCATCACCCTCACCACCAACTATAAGCAAAAACCCACACGTATATATGGGGTAGCACAGTGAAAGAGCTTCCTACCACTTTGAGACCTGGGAAGGATCAAATGTACGGGAAGGATCAAGTGTACATGGTCTCAGCACCAAGAAATTAAAAAAAAATGTATGCGGGCTTGTCCCCACGTGTAGAGAGGCTGTTTTGTGACTCAAACTCCTGATGCCCTGGTCACACTAGAGCAACATCGGAAACCCATATGAGGAAGAAGCTTTTTTGGAACATTCATCATAGGAAGAAGCTCCTCCATATGGTTATTGGTCTAGAAATCCACAACCAATTATCTGATCTGTATTCCTTTTTAAACCTCTTTCAGTTGCTCTATCTCAAATTTGAGCAACTTGATGAATCCCTGGGAAAATGCTTGTAAGTTACAGCCTTAGAGGTAGATGCCACTGACCTAGCCAAAGTCCATCTCATGCAAAACATATTGCAGTCCATAAATACGTAATCAGTGTTGCAATATGGTGACAATTTGTTTAGTGAAATCAATGTCAAAGACCCCCGGCCTTGAACATCCCATTCATCCAATCCATTTTTTCACACGTTTCAATTTCTATTTTCGTTAGTGGTGATAGGGTTTACATTTATCTACATGGTTGGCTTGGTGTTTTGATTTTGATGGTTGTTAGTGGTGGAGGGTGGCAACCGACGTGCCTTTGACTAGGACTACGTGTGAGAGAAGGCAAAAATAGACAAATATTGGAAAGGTTTTAGGGGTTGAGGTGGGAGTGGATTCGGAAGGGGGTGTGACTGGTGTGTGTGAGACTGGGGGTTGAGGTCTGATAGGGAGGTGTATGCCAAAGACGAGGTACTGTTGTGAGAGGCCTCAGGGCGGGGGGAGATGGGTTCCTCAGAGCCAACAGGGGAGTGGATACGGTTTGACTCTTTCACTTTCTTTTTTTATTATTCCAATTTTGACCGAATTTTGAAGGATAAAATGTTATTTTTGATTTGTAAATAAGTTAATTTTACATTAAAATCTCCAATTGGGATCTCATAGCCTTTTATAAATGTCAAGGGCGCCAGAGAACAAACCTCAATGGCAAGGGATGTCCTCATAATCTACCCTTTTTAAATGGTGGTCGCTTAGACTTGATCTTTTGTGTGAATGGTTAAATCTCAGATAATTGTCACCTTCTGTCATTTTATGACAGCTATGCTTGTATTCTTACATTTAGGTTAGCTATTATAAGTCAGAGGTTCTCCCTCTTCTGAAGCAGCACAAAGTAATATATTTGACCCACACTGATTCCCGACTTGCCAACAACGATCTCCGCACTTCCATACAGAAGCTAAGGTGCCGTGTGAATTACAGGGCACTAAAATACTCGACATCAATAGAAGAACTGGCAAAAGTCTTGGTTTCAAGATTGCGACAAAACAGTAGCCCTTATATTGCTCTTCATTTGAGGTGCGTATTAGTAGCAGTTTTGGTTTTTTTTTCTGAAATTTTTACACTGGAATTTTTGTTCTTTTTTGAATCACATTTCGTTACATAACGAGAGCGGTAGCATGTTTTACACTTTTATCTTTATTAAAGGATTTATTTGTGGTTTTCACGCTTATCTTTTTTATAGAATGAAGACAGACAATTTGGAACTCACACACGATGTGTTGTTAAGACTTTAAGAGTTTGACCTACTTTCAAAACCCAAATAAAATTATATGTATTTTGCCCATTTGAAATTTAGGGTATGATTTATGAATCTAGTCTCTAGGATTTCTAAAACATCATAAACTTATAATTTGATGTTTATCTTTGATAAACTTATGCTGGAATCAAACTTTTTGTAGGATACCAATTTAAATAGCATTCTCGGATGGTTTTGATCTATATTTACTTTTTTGCAGGTATGAGAAGGATATGCTCGCTTTCACGGGCTGCAGTCATAATTTGACTGCAGTGGAAGATGATGAGCTGCGTAGGATGCGGTATGAGGTCAGCCATTGGAAGGAAAAAGAGATTGATGGGTCAGAGAGAAGGCAGCTTGGTGGCTGCCCATTGACCCCAAGGGAAACTGCTCTTTTGCTTAAAGGGCTGGGTTTCCCATCCAACACAAGGATTTACCTGGTTGCTGGTGCAGCTTATGGAACTGGGACTATGCAACATCTCACAGAAAGTTTCCCAAATATCTTCTCCCATTCAATTCTTGCCACAGAACAAGAACTAAATCCTTTCAGGAATCACCAGAACATGCTGGCCGGTCTGGACTATGTTGTTGCCCTTCGTAGTGATGTTTTCGTTTATACCTATGATGGTAATATGGCAAAGGCAGTTCAAGGTCATAGACGCTTTGAGAACTTCAAGAAAACTATCAATCCGGACAGGTAGTATACCTTAGAAGTTACAACTATTATAACAGCGTAACCTTGTGGTCTTTTTTTAGTTAGGATGACACTTGGTTTACTTTATTTCCTAAAATAAATCCACTCAACTCAACTAAGGCATGTAATTATCTAATTTTGTAAATGCAGGATGAATTTTGTAAAACTAGTTGATGAATTTGATGAAGGAAGAATTTCTTGGAAGAAATTTAGTTCTAAAGTGAAGAAGCTTCATAAAGATCGAGTTGGAGCTCCATATATGAGGGAACCTGGTGAATTTCCAAAGCTTGAAGAGAGTTTTTATGCAAACCCCTTTCCTGGATGTATTTGTGAAAGATCAAATGAGAAATAGAGGTGGATCATAAAGGTTTTTGCGATTTTTTTGTGAGTTCAGCTGCTAGAGAAAAAACTCTTGAAGAATTTGTTGCCATTGCTTTACACGGTCCCTCAGGAAGTAGCAGGGTTAAACCTTCACCAGGGAAATTAACTACATCACTTTGAAAACAAGTCAGGTTGGAGGGGCGCATACTCAGTTCTGTAGTACCTATACGATGAAGTTCTGTAATTGCAGCTTCATTCAGGGTACACTGCAGAGAAGAGAATCTTACTACACTTACAGTGATCCATCGAGAAAGTAGTTCACTTCATCAATCGGACATCTTTCCATTGGATTATATTTTACAAGGTAGGTTGTTTTGAGGCTGTTTACTAACTGATGAATTACGAGAGGGTGACACAGAAAGTAGTGTGTTACTTTCAAATATCAGTTACACGAAAGTGATATTATATGGTGCAAATGGAGCATTTTATTGTCGATGGATGTACAACATTCTCAACGGAAAATTGTCAGTAAGATCTGCATTAGGATAGAAACCAATGGTCCAGGTACTAGTATTTGACATACGAACATCACGCTTGCATGCGCGCGCGCGCATACATACATCGTCCCTGTTGTAGAAGTTATGGAAAATTAAGCCTGCCTCTGTTTATTCGAGAAAGCAGAATTCATTACAGTATGAACTGAAAAATGACATTACAATAGGAGAGGAAGAACAAAATTCATGCCCACTACAGCTTCAAAAAAGACCCATGCTGGCTGCCTTAAGGTGGCGCGATTAACGCACTTCCATCATTCAGCTAGAGGATAATCCCCTTCAATTTTCTCTTTCTCAGGGTTGCCCCCGTGTTCACTCAATACAAATGGCAAACCAATAAAAATTTAAATAAAAAAATAAAACTAGAAATTGGCAAGGCACTACTATTGTAGGATAGACTCAACAAGCTCATAGAGAGGCGCGAGTTCCCCCTTGTCGATCAAGCGAAATTCCTGCATCACATACACAACCAAAGTAATAGCTTATGAGATATCTGGAGATTCAAATCTAGCTGATGTTCAGATCTGCAAAAATGATTTTACCCTCTCTTTTTTATTTTTTATTTCGTCTTTCCCATTTTGAACTCATAATAGTGTTGGGAACAAGAAAAAAACTTTAAAAAAAAATAAAGGATTTAAACACCAACATTTTTAGTAAATAGTTGCACTACTAATAAATAACCCTATGGCTCTGTCCAGGGATCTCCTTGTAGCATTTCATTGTCCAGACTCTAATTTTCAGTTAAAAGAAAGAAAGGACACAACCTGGAACCCCCACCCCACATTTTCCTTCAAGATGCATCGTTAACACTTTCAGTGGCCTTAGCGAAATTGTGGTTGCAATTAGAAGACTGGGTAAGAGAAAATATGTAATTTTGCTGGGTCAATTTACATCCCAACAACGTAGACCGAAAAAAACACTTCCAACTATACAGAAGCTGACCAAAAAGGTTTGTTTCTTCAGCAGTTAAAAGCATGATCACCAAAAAATTGTAGCACAAAGATGAAGTGATGGCTCGGAAAGGGGCCATAGGTTAACTTGTGGCTAAAAAGAAGGAAAGAAAGAAAACAAGAAAAAAAAGGTAAATTGTTAAGACTAACTCACAATGAAGAATTAAATACGCTTGAGGGTGGAGGACAATGTGGTGGACTATACACAAACTAGGCAATGAGTCCATAAAGGGCAAAACTGAGAGCTTCCCTAACAATTGAAACTTCATGCAGATGATAAATTACCCATGTAAATAGAACAAAATGCTTAAAGCACGTATTGAGATGAGCTTCTTCCTTCAGACTCACGATCTTCTGAAAATGTGAGTGATAGATGTGGGCATAAACACGAAATAACCGCTTGAATATTGTCTTAACGACATCCTGAAAATTTGGTGGAAATGGTGCACCTGCAGCACACAAAGATCAAGATAAAAAGCCTGAGTGCTTCAACCAAATGCAACATTTGCGAGGCATAAAGTATTTCCCTATACCCAATTTTTGAGGAAAAATTGATTCATTATCAAGCTGGGCTTCAATCCAGTCCATCAGATACTCCACATATTTAGGAGCAGAGACCTCTATGGGTTTCTTTATAGCAACTCCGTCAGCCCATCTATATTCATACCTGAAGACAATTATGCTTAGTTGAGGGATTGCAGTATGTCTACATGATCAGCAATTGATCCCAAATAGAGGAATATTGAAAACAACAAAAATTTATTTTAAACGTACTCATAACCTGAAGAGAAATTTATCACACCACTAAAAGACCAGAAGAAGTTAAAATGGGATACACTGGAAATTGACAGGAGGGTACGAAAATCATGTGTGTTTGCATTAACATCTTTAGATGCTTTGGGCCCAACAATTTACTTAAGTAACATGCTTTTACCAAGATAAAATCCCTTCACAAAAGCATCACCACTTGAAGAACGTTTTTAATGATAACAACTGATTCATTTGATACATTGTTATTAGATTTTCAACCCACTGAATCATCTGGATTTTTGGATGTGAATAACTAAGTACAACTCACTCCAGTCTTGCAGTTGCAGTATTTTAATATCTTCCAATCTGTTAATTAGTATTTTCACTGGCACAAATTTTTTTCTCTAATCATTATTCCCCCAGCAGTATTGTTTGCATCACTCTGCTCCAGCACCCCCATCCCAACTTCTCTCTCCCACATGCAGGGCTGGGGGAGAGAGAGAGGGTGCTCCAGATTGTACAATGAAGCTTTATTAACTCAGGGTTGGACAGGACAAGCTAATAATTTCAGTGACAGTACTAAACGTGCAACAACAAAATGCAAGTAGTAGTTGATGAAGCATATTTTGAACATAAAAGTATAGAACTCAAATTTACCGAGCACAATCAGCTCTACATAGAGGTTTAGGCTCATGATGGTAGGAAGGCAAACTTCAGCTGAAACCAACTCCTTTCCCTTCCAAGAATGCTTTACTAAAATTGCACATTTTGACTACACAATTATATGGACAGACACTATTAATGCCCCATTTCCAGAATTGATCACCCTTGCCGTTCAGAAGAAATGTGTGTGTATGGGATGATGTGTAAAAGAAAAGACACATCACTTAGGTATTTTTAAAAGCTCAACAACAAAGGCAGAGAAGAAGCATCACACTAAACCAACATCCCATGTATTAAATCAGAACTCAGCACTCTGGGAAGGGCAAAGAAAATTACTTTGGTCCTGCAGTCATTGTTGGACAGGTCGATGCTGTGCAAAATTCAGTAAGGGTACCATACAAAATGTTCACCTGATTAAAAAAGTCAACAGCTGTAGAAAAAGGAAAACAAATGATATGAGGTTAACTGCAATGTTGCAAAAGATAGCCTGGCATTGACACTACAAATGTATGTCAGTGGACTTGAACATACACGTCCAAATCTATGCGTCTACATGTAACCATATAACAAATAACAGAAGCAGAAACCTAGATACTAGTAATATCATCCAAACAAGTGTTTTCTGGAGTCAAATGGATTAGTGGGATAAAACAATCCTATTAATGGATTAATCATAGAAGAATTTTTTTACGAGTGCTGATCTTAGTGTAGATGGAGGGCAGCATAAAGTTGGCATATGCAAACACTTGCATGATCCTAATTGATCCAACAAAATAAGCAATCATGCTTCAAGTTGCAGCTTAAACAACAGGATCATGGAGTTTTGAATTTGTTCTTCCTTCTTAAGGATTCATATTTGAACCTTGGTTCCAGTCTTACTAATGTTTTCCCATCACTTTTCTATAGCATTTACTTTAATTTATACACACCATTTACTATGGCGTTGAATTTTATCAGAGTTACTTAACTCGGCTAGTCCTATACAGTTAATATAAATACTTAGAGAAACATTAGTTTTCTTTCCTTTTTTGGATGAACATGCACAAGGGAATACATTAATTTGCTTTCACATAATCACCATGTTGCAAATATCACATCAGGATCATTTGAAAGTTTCCATAAGAAAAATACAAAAAAAAAAAAAGTAACAGGAATTCATACTTTCTAAAACACAAAGTTATTATAGTTGGAAAGTTATAAGATTGAAATTCTTACTATTCACAGCCAGCCACTCATTAAGATCTTCCCCAGGGGGTAGTCGCACAGCTTCTCTCAAGTTGCCACTACCCAAGGTAGCATCAATGTGCCTTTGGAGTTGCGCCCCCTGCATTTCAAATAAAGTCAAAACGGAAATGGTATAGTAGCATCACCAAAGAGGTAAACGCCAAAGTCCATGCAATTGATATTAAAGCTTTGCTACTTTGAGTTTTAAACAAAAGAGTAATTTCATCAAGAAAAACAAGTGAACAAAAATGAGAAAAAAAAAAGTAGAAAAGAAAATGAATTAGCTACAGAAGCTTAATGTAGAACACTGACCTTACTTCCTGATGGAGCACTTTTTTTAGGCCGAAATGTCTTTTGGTTTCTGCACTTATCAAAGTCAGGAGTGCATTAGTATTTCTTTTATTTAAAAAAATTCCATACATTAGAGGCAAGGAATAAAAACAGATAATAATCAAATCAACACGAGCATAAATAAGGTGTTCATATAAATAAGCTATTAATAAGAAAAATAAGTTCAACAATTCATTTGAAGCTCATTACTCCGGCAAAATTTAAGGGGCATAGGAAACTCAAAGCACGTGAGAAACATGTAGGCCTTAAAACACCATGGGTTTGTTTTTTTTCGAAAATCTTTCCCAATACTCACCGTTCATTTGAGAGAGTTATTGATACGCTGAAAGACTTCTTAGAAATGAAAAAGATCAAGATAAGCCTTTAACAAACAAGTTTGCTCCTTTTACTGAAAGTAAGCAAAACTCAAGAATATAACTCGCCAGGCTACCATGCATACATTTCAATTTGTTCAAAGGAAAAAAACTTAAATTTTTTAATGAAGTAAATCATTTGACTCTATACTCCCAAGTGAAGCCAACAGCAATGCAGAAGAATTGATGTCCAATGAAAAAACACGTACCAAGATTTATGGGCCAAAATAAAGTTTGCCAAAGTTTTCAATTAGAATTGTTGCATAAATTACTAATTATTTTTTAAACAAATATAATCATGGTAATGAACACTTGAAAGTATCATAGACCCCATATCGTCTATAATTAAATCAACTTGAAGTCTGAACATCAAAATCCGGTGTTATAAAGGTTAGCATCTAAATTCTGCCCCTTAATTATTTCGTCATAACACAATAGCTCAAATCACCAGGTGTCAAGATTCCTTCTCTGATTCATAGGGAAGCTATAAGGACAACCGAGACCCATAGAATGTGTCAACCCCCTCACCTTGTAATTTATTAATCAATACCTTGAGAAGCAATCCAATTGAATTATCATCCATAATCTTCCTAGTCAGATGAAATTAGTTTTGATTTCGGTCTTATCAGCAAAAAATAACGCAACCCACAGACATATAAATCAAAATTCACAATCATTTCATATTTCATCGTCATCAAACAACCAAATACAAAAAATTACCAAATATCTCCAAACATTAACGCATAGTATACATTCATACACCTATCTTATAATACATACATGCATGGACGATGAAATATACATATGACATAATCAGAATATTTTCAGAAATTGAAATAGAGATCGAAACGCAAAGGAAAAAAAAACCTGTTTCCAAGTCCGAACAGACTCATGGTAACAAGAGCTTTGAAATGGACCTATTAGAGTTCAAGGGTTCCTTTTGTCTCTCCCTCACTCTAGCAATCTCTCTCCCTTTCTCTCTCGCAATACAAACGAAAAACAGAGAGAAAGCTTTTGAAGAAGAAATGAAGGGTATATGTATGTATGTGTATACGTATATATTCGTATTTATACATATATATATATATATATATATATACGTATACAATGCTGGATAGAGACAGAGAGAGATAGCCAGATAGGTGTTAAATGACAGACTGGCATTAGAGAGGTCAAGCAATACCTCTCTCTCTAAAAACAGTAGTAATTCAGAACCAGCCAGGTCGTCTTCTTTGGTTGCCATTGCCAGCCTACCTGGCTGATTCTCCTCCGAAAATATTAATTTTTGCGTTTTTTTATATACTTTCACTCGGACCCAAAACGAGTCTAACTAGAAACGTGGCAGGTCTGGATTGATTGAGTCGATTTTATTCTGACATATCAGAAACATGAAATCAATCGTCAGTGATGTACTCAAGGATTACCCAAGATTTGGAACATCAACGTTCAGCATTTTGGAAAAAGTACACCAACAACCCTCATAGTTTGGCCTTATTCATGTTCTACCTTCTTATTAGATAAAATGACACTAACACCCTTTATCAGGGTATGTCGGGTCATTAATAGGGCATGCATATATTTTTTTTCTATATTTACTCCACAAGTAATATTTTTTTTTTCTATGTGTGATCTTCTTTTATACTCTGTTAAGTGCTAGGATTGCTACACCTAAGTAGAACGAAAATTTCAAAAAACAAAGTTAGAGTATTTTTGGCTATTAGCAGCGCATGTAATGCGTTGCACGTGAATAATTTTTATATACAGAATATTAATAAAAAAATATTAGGTACATGTCTATCTACATTAAATATCATATCAAATTTTTGAAATTATATTTTTATCACTCATATTATATTATAGAATTCAAAAAATATTGTATGTTTCCAGCAATACGTTATTTTAATTATAAGAAAAAAGATAAAAATAATTTATTTAAAATTTATTTGATTAGGTTTCATCTTATAATTCATTGAATAAGATAAAAATAATTGTTAATATTCTAATTAATGTTTACTATAATTAGGAATTAGTTCGGTCAATAGGAATAAAATATAGGGTTAATTATACTTTTGGTCTCTAAAGTATATATGTGTGATTTTTGTCAGCTTAGTCTTCAAGATATAAATTTTGTCAATTTAATCTCAAAAATATCTAATTTTTATTTAAATGGTCCATAATCAGACAATTTATTAAATTTTTTGACGAAAATTATCACATGTGATTCTATCAAATAATATCATATAATCAAATTTGATTACTTCTATCCAAAACTTAACAATTTGAGTTCAGATCCTAATGATTTGTGGGATTAGATAGTTCTTTAGAATCTTAATGAATTTTAAATCTTGCAAACCAAACAATAGAATGGGCATTACCATGAAATGTCCATTCTATTCTTAACAACTAATATTACATACTAAACACAGTGTTAGAGTTTAACTTAGATTCATTAGTAAAACAATTTTTTAGTTGCTAGATATTAGATAATAACTCTTGTGGCCGGATAATGTTTTTCAAAGAGTTATGCTATCGAAACTTACAAAATTGATCCAATTGTTGAAACAGAGGTGCGCTTGAAGTGGGGGGAGTCTGTCCCTATTGGGCTGGGCCCTTCCCCATAAAGCCCCACCATCGCGCCCCGTCCTCTTGCTACCCATATGCGAGCCGTCATCTTAGCCTTTCCAGAGTAGGTTCGCTCCTATATTTGTAACGTTCGTGATTGGCCTCCTCATCTGTGTAGCGATGGAGTGTTTGATCATCTTGCTTCAAAAGAGAAGTAGTACTCAGTGTCGACACAGGAAACTTCTGAAAGTTATGTCAGTGATCTTTCAGATCAAAATTGGAGAGCTTTTTATGCTTTTCTTCTTTTGTTACAATACTGTAAAAATCTTTCTTTTTGTTTCTCAATGTTATTAAAATTGATTGTAAGTAGGACTTCATCGGTTTTAATTTTAGATGTAAAAACTATTATTGGACTTTAGTTACAAATATAAATTTTACTTGTCAATGTCACAAAATTGATCACATTTTACAAAATTCTCAAGATTTTGAATATGTCCTTTCTTATTTGTGAGATAAAAAAAATAATTCTTTTAAGTGTCAAAGAATAAGAGAAATAGTGAGGAAGATACTATTAGGAAGGTGGGGTTTTTATTTTTTTTTTTTTTGGATTTGAAGAAACAATTATATGCAAGTATAAATGAGAAAAAAATATTTTCAATTTATACCCTTTGATATTCACTTCATATGGTCCAATAATATAATTATAATTAAAACCCTTGAACCTAATTGAGACTATATCATTTGATATATCATTAGGTAAATAAATTAATCAAAATTTTAAATCCCAACAACGTTACTCCCTAGATGATGGTGTGATATGCAAGAGTACACAAATAGTTACATTGTATCTATTAGAGAAGAAGAGATTTTAGAGAAGATTAAATTACGAAAAAAAAAAAAATACTATTTTTTGTAATTATCCTGAAAAAATGGGCGTCCAGGGTCCCTTCTCACCTCCCACCTCCACACACACACAAAAAGTACATCTATTCAAGAAAACACTTGAAACTGGAACGAAAAAATTATTAACCAAATATGCTAAATGTGGCCTTTAGTTACTACATCACTCTTTTATCTTTTAATGAAATGTCAAATACTACAATTAAGGCCACATAATTAAATTGGTGCCACATTGTGTTGAATATTCAGTACTATCAGACTCCACATTAACGTACAAATTATTTTTTTGACTATTATTTCTTTTTTTTTTCTTTTTTTCCCCTATGCATATTGAGAAACAAACCTAGTAAAACATGAACAGTTATCCAATTATTCAGGTAAAAAAGCCCTAGGCTAGGCCTTCCCTTGAAAGAAATGTTGCTTATTACAAACTGACCACCACTTAGATTCCACTCTTCAAGCTTATATTTTGGCACATCGACCAACAAACAAAAGCATTTTTCACGAGACACTTGAGACAACAATATACCTCGAAAAACCAAACCACCGCAAACATACTAGATCGTAATCGTGTGCTACCAATCCTTAATCAATTCAACATACATAATTCAGAAACATGAAAATGCCAAATTCTCCAAGAGATTTAGAGGACACAGAGAGGGTTTTACTGCTCAATTAGTGCCACCAAGGACAGCCTTGAGCTTCTTCACTTGAGCAAAATCAAGGAAAGTGACCTTCACCACCAATTCAGTAGGCAAATCGTTTGCAAACAACGCGAAATCAGTGATTTGGAGACCCGGGTTGGGGCTACTGAAGCTCGCAAATGCAAGAGCAGGTATTTCC